GGCTACCCTAAATGTCCTTCCCCTATAATGAGACTGATGACTACTTTATATGCCATCCTAGAGCCCTCATCCAGTGGCTGAAGGAAGCTGAGGCAGACACCCATAGCTATAAACTGAACTGAACTCTGGAACCCAGTTGCAGAGAGGGAGAAATGATGATTAAGGGGGTCGGGCCCAGGCTGGTGAATTCCAAAGAAACAGCTGACCTGAACAAGGGGAGCACATGGACCCCAGACTGCTATCTGGGAGGCCATCATGATCGAGACCACTGAAAGTAAATGTCAACGAAGAGGTCTCGGCACTCTATGGGGCCTCTGGTGGTGGATCAGTATTTTTCCCTGGTGTAAGAAGGGACTTTGAGAGCCCATCCCACGTGAAGGGATGCTCTCTCGGCCTGGACACATGGGGGAGGGCCTAGGCCCGGCCCAGGATGATGTTGTGGAATTTGGAGAACCCCCATGGAGGGCCCTACCCTCCTCCATGAGGAGTGGAGGGGGAGGGGAAATGGACTGGTGGGGAGCTGGGGAGAGGGAGAAGAGGGGGAAAGGGAGAAGGGATTGACATGTGAAATTATAATTTTGTAAAAATTAAATAAAAAAGAAGTTTAAAAAAGAGTTGGGCACTGTACACCCCCTCAATGTTCATCCACAGAAGGCTATTTAATATGCACATACAGTCAATAAGCTGTATACTATTGCCCAAAATTACAAAGGAGGTTTCTGAGCCCTGTGGTTATGTGGAAAGGAAAACACTCAGTCCCTGCTGGTGGGAGGACAAACTGGTACAGCCACTAAAGTAATTTGTGTGGAAGCTCCACAGACAGTGAAAGTAGATTTACCACAAGGTCCAGCTGTGTCATTCAAGGGTATATTCACAAATAACTCTATATCTAACTACAGAGCTATTTGCTCATCCATGTTCATTCATGCTCTTGTCACAATACCTGGGAAATGGGAACAGTCCAGATAGCCATCAAATGAGGAAATGATAATGACAGTGTGGCACCACTACAGAATGGAATATTTCTCATTTGTTAAGCAAAATGAAACAACAAAATTAATGGAAAAATGGGTAGAGTTGGAAGCAGCAGTCTGAGTGAGGTAACAAAATTAAATCAAGAACATATAAACAATTTAAATACACCTAAGGAAATAGAAACAGTTATCAATAGTCTCCCATTTTAAAAATCCCAGACCCAGATAAATTCAGTGCAGAATTCTACCAAATATTCAAAGAAGATCTAATACACTGAAGGATTTTTTTAGCAAATCATATGGAAATCTACCACTGTGGACATTTTCTAAAATAACCTATGTACATATATAAAAGGAGGGTGAGATAGAGTTGCCCTATACTAGGACAGCAATGCCACTGATAAACGCAACAGGGTAACAAATACAAAGCCCAGTTCCAGGAATTTGTTTGTTTTTTTTTTTTTTAGGTATTGTCCAGGGAGATCCCTAAATATAACAGGTCATTTTCAGTACTCTTTTCTACCTTACAGAACTTGATGGTGAGAACCTATTATTGAAGACGCCATACACTTGAGTTAGAGAAGATGGAGAGACTAAGCTGATACTGACAAGAAGCCTCATCCCTACTCGTTAACTTTCATGTGATGGGGAATGTACTATGTATGTTTATCTTTTTGATTGTTAAATAAAATACTGTTTGGCCAATGAGACAGCAAGTAAACGGGACTAGGAGTCAAAGAGGATTCTGGGAAATGTAGTAGAGAAGTGATGATCCAGACAGGAAATAATATAACAAGGAGACTCATATTTAAGCAAAGGAGAAACAGGAAGGGCCCCTTTTTCCTGTTCGCCGCCCCCAGAGGCAGGATGTGAGCCACTGGCAAGGAGGGACGCCAATAAGGCGTCCAATAAGATAAGTCTTATAAAATATATAGGTTTATGATAGTTAAGACTGAGCTAACAGATGAGGAATCCTAGTCATTGGCTAAGCAGCTTTAAACCTAATACAAGTTTCTGTATATTCATTTGGGCCTAACTCGGGCGGGCGGCTGGCATAAAGCTCACATGTGGTGATGGGGATCAGGCAGCTTTTGGTGGAAAGATTTATCGTAGCACATTTCTATTAATCTATATATTTCCACAAGGTCTTGGCTTACTCGAGAATGCCCAGACAGACCTGTTACTCCTTTGGTGGGTTCATGGTGTCTCTCTCCCAGCAACTCCTTCTGTCTACCTTTCCCAGAATTCTCCTCATCTCCTGGTTCCACCTATCTTCCTGCCTCTTAATGTCTCCACAACATGAAACCTGTATCTGGGCAAGAACCTAAGGCTAGACAGATCATAAAATAATTATTAATATTCTGAGTATTATTATTACAATTATCCTGCTAAATGGACATCATATTAAGCCCTCTCATTAGGAGAGGGCTTAATCCATAGAATAAGGCATCTCTCAACACTTGTCATGGAAGCCTGTGTTTGCCATAGAGGATCATCAGTCCAGAGACACACAACTGGCCAAGATTCATAGAATACTATATGAAGAATAACCAGCTCTAAATGGAAGATGTTAATTCTACCTCTAAAGGCACAAGAATTGTTGTGGAAGAAGGACTGAAAAGACTTTCATAACAAGGGTTGGTAGACGAGGACAGGGAAACAGTGTCTTCTGGACACAGCAAAGCAGTTCCACATATGAACTCACCATGGTTGTGACAGAATGTGTAAGACCTATAAAACCCAAGCTGGTGTGAAAACCAGCATAGACAAAGGAGATGAGAATTACAAGACTTCATGAACATGAATTTACAATTGTGAGAAAATTGGGTTATAATGAGACAGAAGTAAAATGAGTTGTGTCTTGGATGAGACTAAATTTGGCATCTGCACAGGACCCCAAGCATTATGTTGTGTAACCAGTTAAGGCTGCATTTGTAAAGTCAGGAATCAGAAAAATTATCTTTCAAGGATTCTTTTCCTGTCTATGTAGTAAGCTGGTTCTCCATGTTCCATTTCCAAACCACACATGCCACTCTTCTATTATTTCTTGACTTTGCTGCCAAGAACTGAAGAGATAATAGAATAAAAAAAAAAAAACAGCCAATAGTTTCATTTTCTCTTTCTTCTTCTTGGAAATGCAGGAGATTCTGAAAAACAAGATATAAAGCCCTAATGACTGACCAACACTCAATTGGAAGGGAGGGGCAGAAGTCAGAGAATGTATAAATCCTGTCCAACAGCCTTCAACCTGTTGTTTTTCCACAAAGAAGCAGAGGTGTGTTCATGTGAAGAGACTGGAGCACAGTAAACAGTAGTTCTTGCAGCTGAACTACAGTGAATTAATACACCAGACACAGGATTATCTGGTAAGTGGGCAGGAGCATTCAGATCTAACTTTGAACACTCAACATCTCTTTTCTTATAAGAGCTGATAGGTAACAAGACACTTAGGAGCATGATCTGAGAGTGGGAGTTCCTCAGCTTGGAAGCTCGGGAACTTTGTTGGGAGGCAGTCATGACAGCCTTGTGGATGGTCTTAGCCAATTACCCAAGTTGAGGTAGACTTAAAGCCAATGATCTTGATGTAGGTTTTGGGAAGAAAACCAAACATGCAGTTGTTTTTGCTTGTCTCTTATTCCTCGCCCTAAAATGGTTGTAAATATGTGATTCAGGAAATGGAATATGTCTACAGTGTGTATGAGGTTGTTGTATCTTAAAATAATAAAAGGATGGTGAATGATAGAAGCAGGTACATCTCAATATGAATATAAATCCTAAGGCAGAACCTAGAGTAAGGTGATTAATAGCCCTGTTGCTACTGGGGAAGAGCACAAGAATGGAAGCAGTCACTAAGTACAAAGTCCTGAGAGAAGACAGCCTGAGATAACAGGGAAGCGAGAATTCAGACACCATAAGCTTCAAACATGTAATAATAAAGCTCAAAAGTTTATTGTATGTAGTGTGTGCACTGTATACCTAATGAATGTTCCCTGACTGAAATGGAAATCCTTATGGAAATCCTTAAGGTATTTCTTAGAATTGACTTGATATGACATGACTTCAGTATCAATAGGATGACTCTGGCAGTTTAATCATCCATATTATTGCAAGAAGAGTCACAGGAAATACAGTAATGTCAATGACATCAAAGGTGGAATTCAAGAACTCCTGAAGAAAATAATGTAGATGGAATGATCAATTGTGATTGGGTTTGCAAACCAAGCTTAAGTCTGTGAACTGATATGATATGGGTGAAATTGACAGAGGAGGCTCCAGGGTGACAGTGGGGATTTGCAGTTCCCTTAACTAATGATGAGGTTCATTGTACTGCCAAATAAAATTAGAAATATGAGATCTGAATTAGTTATATACCCAACAATCAAACTCAGGTTCTTAGGCCTGGCAGCAAATGTACTTAACTGCTGAGCCATCATACTGTACTTGATACTAATTTTTATGATACAGGGCCACAAGTAGCCCAGGTTATTCTAGCTCACTGTGTACCAAGATCTTGAAGTACTGAACCTCTTAGCTCTACTTCCTGAGTATCAAAATTTCAGTAATCTGCAAACACATGCATTTAATAAGGTATTGTTATTGAAACAAAGGCCTTATTTATGCTGGGAAAGCTATCTAGCAAGTGGCCAATGTCTCCAATGCACATTTACATTATTTTCATAAAATAAAATGTTTAAAAGAAAATAGTGAATCTAAGTGATTACTTGAGAAGAAAAACTTGCATTGAAACAAATGGATTTTAACACAGACTTTAAGGGTGAAGCACATTCATAATATTTCAAGTTTACACTTGTCATGGAGATGTGAGCTCCATGTCATGAAAAAGACATAGAAATAATGAACCTAGGAAAATTAAGAATTATTTCAACAAAACGCAATAGCTGAATTTACTGAAATCTTTTGAAAACATAAATAACAAACAAAATAGATTTATGTAATAATTAGAGATTTGTGTCAATTAAACACGAATGTCAATTATCATTCATTGTTATTGATTCCTCAGTGTGCAAAGCTAGACTATGTTAAGCTTCCATTCATTGGAAGGTACACACTGAAGGAGGTGTGCACAGATGGAGACAATATCTTGGATTTGAAATAAAACACGGCAGTTAGATTAGATGTAACACAGCTGTTCATGTTTTTATTTTTATAATTGTTGATGCTGGCTAAAGGACACGTGAACATTTTATATTATTTTCCCTTACTTAGGTTTTAGATTCCTCTATTGAGAATTGTCTATTTAGTTCTGTAATCTACTTTTTAATTGGATTGTTTGGTGTTTTTGGAGACTAGATTCTTGAGGTTTTTGTATATTTTGGAGATCAGCCCTCTATCAGATGTGGGGTTGGTGAATATCTTTTCCCAATCTGTGGGCTGCCGTTTTGTCTTGCTGACTGTGTCCTTTGCCTTACAGAAGCTTCTCAGTGTCAAGAGGTCCCATTTGTTAATTGTTGATCTCTGTGTCTGTGCTACTGGTGTAATGTTTAGGAAGCAGTCTCATGTACCAATTAATTCAAGAGTATTTCCCACTTTATCTTCAAATAGATTTAGTGTGGCTATGGTTATGTTGAGGTCTTTGATCCATTTTGACTTAAGTTTTGTGCAGGGTGAAAGGCTTGGGTCTATCTGTAGTTTTCTACATGTTTGCATCCAGTTATGCCGGCACCGTTTGTTGAAGATGTTCTCTTTGTTCCAGCGTATAATTTTGGATTTTTTTGTCAAAAATCAGGTGCTCGTAGGTGTGTAGTGTAATATCAGAGTTTTCAATTCTATTCCATTGGTCTACCTGTCTATTTTTGTGCCAATACCAAGCTGTTTTCAGG